AAAAAAAAAAAAAAAAAAAAAAAAAAAAAAGACTAATTTTTATTATAATGTACAAAGTAAATCTAATTATGATTGTTCTTTTTAAAAGAATGGTTCTGAAATATTAGTAGTATCTTTTTATACTCTATAAGCACTTTGAGCAAATGAATGAAAAGCAGAAATCTGATGATGCTCATCTTGAGAATTTTATAGTCATTAACTTGTTTTGTTGACCTTTATTGCTCCATATGCTTCCTATCTTTAAATATCAGCCCATATAAGTATACAATAACCCATTTAAGACTAAAAATATAAACAATTTATAGCTGTGAAGCTGTCAGAACCACCATGTTGGTTACGGTGTGAGCTGAGTGACCAGTCAACTGAGTGAGGGATGAACATGTGCATCTGACCTCCTTTAATCACCTTATATGCTCCCTCATATATGTACTTGGAGGATCGCAAATGGTTCCATTTCTAAGGAAAAATATTTAAATAACTGTTCAATAAGCTGAGGCTTAAAAAAAAGAGAGATCAATACCAAACGTATGCCCACCTTCAATCATATGAGTCCTCAGAACACAACTACACGTCCCCCAAGGGAGTTCTCAAACCCAGCCCAGCCCACAGAATGGTCCCAGGGTTGGTTTCCCAGCCTCATCAGATTCCAATGCATCCCATCATAGTATTTCAAGATTAAAGACAACGCCACCAATACTTGCAGACACCTGCTATCTGAATCATAGTGCTCAGACACTGTAGACTATTTAAAACTTATAAATATGCAGTCCTATTCTTAAGTAGCTCATGATCTACTCAGCAACCCTCGGTCTACTCAGGAATCATAGGCATATATAACTGTATATGCCTAACATAAACTTAATTATAGAGGGGCCAAGGAAAATTAGAGAGAGATCACACTGTCCTTACATAGAGCAAAAGAAAATGAAAACCTTAACTATGTGTCCTTCACAACATAATTTTAGTAACCTCTGGATTTCATTATGCTTGAATACTTAAAGAAACCATGGGGAAATTTTTGCCAATTTTTAAAAAACAGGACAAAGTACAACTCTAGGGTTAAGAATTTCTCTTACTTTCCATCAAACAGCTGTCTGTGCCACTTATTTATTCATTTAGCAATATTTTATCCAAAAATTTAAAATAAATAAAGATTAACAACTTAGATATATCAAGAACTAAAGCTCAAACTATGGGAATGGATACATTTAATTATGACTGCCCCAATAATACTAGCAGAGTAAACTGAACAAATATGTTACTCTTTCAATCACAGATAAAATTATACTTTAATGAAGGCTGGAACTGTCTTGCAAAAAAAAAAAAGTAAATGCTAATTATTCTCATTATTTTTTAAATAATGAGAAGAAGTTTATATCGTATTGCACAGTATATATTCATTTACTGATTCTGCCAACAGTAAAAGGTCTTTGAAAACTACAAAAGATGTTTTACCTATACATGAATTAAATATGACTTCCCCAAAAACAATCTGACTGAAGAGTAACCAATTATAAATACCATTTTAAGAAGTCATAAATGTACTATTATTTTAAAGGCCTTTATATCCATCTCGATTGATAATTTTAGGAACATCTTGTTTAAAAATAAAAACTGCTCGTACATTAAAGAAACATACCGACAAGTGACAAAACCATGTGTAGGTTCAAGGGAAGACTAAAAAGTGGAAAGCAAATTCATGTGTCACGCCTAACGTCTACATCACAGGGGGAGAATGGTATCCTCTGGGGGAATTCACAGCTTCCAATCACATTTCAAGTAACAGAGAAAGCAGATTCAGCCCTCCTGCATCAATGGATCTCCTTTTCTGCTAAGCACTGGGAAGTTAAGAAATCATGCCAGCTGCACAGCTGAAATGAAAACACAAACAGCCACTATCAGTGTGCTGGAGACACCACAGGATGAATTATCTATTTCCCTAATGGTTACCCACGTACCATCAATAAATGAAAAAGTGTGTATTAATAGTCCTATGGGACAAATCAACAGTAACTGCCTATGGAGATGCTGGATTTAAACTGGGATTTCAATTGGCTTGAGCAGACATCTGGAACATTATACTAGGCAGCAACTTAGTAGCATTTTTGTGCTTTCCCTTTTGCCTGAAGCACAGAAGACTTCGCAAATCTAGTCAACTCTGAGAGAACAAAGATAACAGATTCTTGTCGCTGTGGAAGTCAATCACAATTTATTCTGAGATTATAAATATCAAAGAAAGAAAAGGGTTAAAAAAATAGATCCACAAGGCTAAAAATGCAAACAGTGATGTTAGAATTAAAACTGATAATGAAATTCAGGACGTTTCCAACTTACGACAGGATAGTGATCTAAATACTATTAAATAAATGGGTGAAACTTAGAATTTATTTTCTTATAAAATCAGTGTTACAGAAGAAGTAAGATTCTCAGGCTAGCTCATGCATGCACACAGTTCACACCCTGGATATACTACAGCTTTGCAATTTCAGTACAATATACTGCTATAGGAGTTGAGACTTATACGAAACAGCAACATAAAATATAATAATTTATTATGCAGTCTATCACTTGAGGGGAAAAAAATCTTAATTAGAAAAACTAGAACCCTTTTTTTTTTTTAGGTCTGTTCTCAAAAGAGTATATAAGGGCCTCAAACATTCCTGAGGTGACTAACCAATAATTAGAAAGATTTTAGGATCTCTGAGTAACAACCGAGTTCTAAATTAAGGATAAACAGAGAGACAGAAGTAGATTTTCCTGAGGTAAGTGACCAGAGAGAAGAGATCCCAGTAAAAGGTTAGGTTGGGGGCTTCCCTGGTGGCGCAGTGCTTGAGGGTCCGCCTGCCGATGCAGGAGACGCGGGTTCGTGCCCCGTTTCGGGGGGATCCCACGTGCCGCGGAGCGGCTGGGCCCGTGGGCCGTGGCCGCTGAGCCTGCGCGTCCGGAGCCTGTGCTCCGCAAATGGGAGAGGCCGCGACGGTGAGAGGCCCGCATAACGCAAGAAAAAAAAAAAAAAAAAGTTAGGTTGGATTGTTTCCTGTACCCACTTCTAAAGTCACAGTGTTGACCCAGGACCACTTGGTTAGTAAATGCTCTCGTTCAGGCCTGAGGTGTGGCTGAGAAGCCAGGAGGCTTGCCAAGGTCCGTATGTACAGATATTCATAAGCTCGCTCACTTTCATCATTCCAAAGGATCTATCAATGGCAAGCAGCGTCGTGCTGTGGGAAGGAGGGTGTTTTCAGGCTCTGTCCGTTGACAGCTGGGTGGCTTTTGCCAACTCACTTAAGCTTTCTAAATATATGTCTCCTGATGTGTAAAAAGGGGGTCAAACACGTAATTGAAACACGGCTGCGATCAACTGTAACACAGTATGTTAATACATGCAGCTACTTGTACGAGACAGAAGTTAAAGCATTTTATTATCTACTAGAGCAGAGTAAGTACAACTAGAAGGTCTGCTAGACCTGGATGAAATAATGGTAGGACTCACTGGAGATTACCTGAGTAGGTGCACACAAGAAGGAATTAGGGCGCTGCCTTATTTTTTCCTGTCAAAACCCAGCTCAGGTAGCATCTCCTTCAGAAAGCCTTCCCTGGTCCTCTACTCCCTACTGCCAACCATTTCACATCCTGTAGTTTGTACAAATTCATGCGGTGGCACTCACTGCCGTAGTGTAATTCATCTGCTTTACAGAGACTGTGAGTTCCTTGATGACAGTGACATCATCTTATGCAAATCCGTATTTTCAGTCGACAGAGCAATGCCTGGCACACAGTAAGTCTCTATTAACAACTACTGAATTGAGCAGTCTAGGACGTAAGCAGGACAATTATGACATACCACTAGATGGTCAACCACGAGTTCTTAGCTCGTGGAATAAAACTTAACCTCTCAGCAAAAGATACGAGATTAACCCACGCTTGCACACGAGTTCTTAACGCGTGCCAAAAGATACCAGGAGAGGATCCATGAAAAGCCAAGCATCAAAACTTAAAGCCCACATCTTCTTGTGCCTTTCTATGCAGTAACTGTAACATGGTGAACCTAAGTCAAAGAGCTATCGAATAAAAGACTTTGTTTGGGGTTCTGATACCTTGGGCAATAACTCTCGTAATGCATTTTGCGGAAAACACATGTTGACAAGACTCTACAGCAAAACTAACTTAATTCTATGGGGTGCTCCCGCCCCGTTTCATAAACACCCCAAAGTTCCTGCCATGGAATTCGCAGGTCTAAACCTGTTCTTGACCTGAGTGGGCCAGGACTACTCCATGTCTCACACCTGGCAGCTGGGATTTTCGCTGCACTTTTCCTGTGTGCAGGGGAGGGCTGGGCTGGGGATGGATGGTGTCCACGCGCCGGTTTGTACACGTTACTGGTAACACCACTGACAGCGGATTCTAAGACACCTTCTAGGACAGCGTCCCGGCGCCGCACAGGAGGGCGGTCGGGAATCGGCGCGCCTCGGTTTCCACAGCGGCGTCTGTTTGGGCTTCTCCCCCCTCGGCCGGCGAGGCTGCGGAGAGGGCTCCGTCCGGTCCCGCACGGCCCTGGGCGCGCAGCCCCGCGCTCCCGGGAGGCCCCCGCCGGCCGCCCCCCGCGGCCCCGGGACACGGCGGCCCCGCGGCCCGCACCGCACTTACTTAGACCTGCTCGCAGGCTGCGCAGTCGGCCGCGGACTCGGAACCCGGCGCCGCGCAGAAGCGTCCCCCCGCGCCGCTTCCGTCGCTCCTCATCGTCCTCCTCCAGCCGAGGGGCCGCCGCCGTCGCCACTGTGTAGCCCGGAGCTCCTGCGGCGCCGCTCTCGGCTCCTCCACTTCCGGCCCACGCTCTGTGTAGCCGGCAAATACTCCCGCCGGCTCCCACATCACCTGCTCTCGCCTTCCTCCCGGGAGCGGGAAGCCGGCCCGCCCTCCCGGGCATGCGCAGAGACCGCGGCCGGAGGAGTTTCCCCACCCGCGACGGCGGCCCGGACGGACAAGATACCGCGGGAACGGGCCGCCGGCACGCGCATGCTCGCGATGGGCCGGATACCCAGCGGCGGGTTGTCCGGTAGCCTTTCTTCCCTCCGATCACCGGGAGGCCTCGCGCCCCGCCTCCGAGGCCTCCGGGGTAAGAGCTCGGAGCCTGCTGGATCTGCCTGTAGGACGCACGTCTTCCCGAAGAAGCGGTGTGTGCCCCAGTCGGTTGTTAAGGATATAGGAGTGAGTTCCCGCACTTAAATCGCTTCCTTAACTTTGTTTCTCTTTTTGTCTTCTCCCAACCCAGACCGCTCTTTACCTTTGTCAGAGTGGACCGTCACGGGCGGATGCATGGTTTATGAGGCCCGAAACTTGTACCATTTAGACGGCCCTTGTAAAGAAAAAGAATGGAACATTACCTTACTTTTGCAAATTTTACAGAAGCACAAGACCGTGGAGACATTGTTAGGGCCCCTCCCAGGGCCTTGGAAGTGACCATACAAATGGGCCCCTGAAGCTGGAGCGTCATTACCTTCACTGACAACCGCCTTGCGCACCAAATTGTACTCAATTGTTTGTTTATAGATGTCTAACCCCACCTCCGTCATTCCCTATTCTCTGTACCCTGTATTATATATACAGAGGATATGTAACAATGTTTTTTAAAGCTTGGAATCTGCTACCAAATTGAGAGCTCCAGGTCAGAGAGGCTCTTGATAATAATTCCTATTTTTATCAGAAATTGTTATCAGGTGGTGCATCATCTGATAAGCACCACCCACCATGGTAGACCGACCACTTACACAAATAAACTAACAATCAAAGCAACTCTAGACGATACTCAATGAAAAACTCGATTCTTTTTGAACCAAGCATCAGAAGGCTAAAATAACTTGGTAACTTGGAGATGGGGATTTGAAACAACTTGGAGTTTCTCTGGTTTCCTTGTTCTCCTCTTATACCACTAATACGAAGTGCAGTCTCCGACATTATACAAGCTCAGTAGATGTTGAACAGGGTACAAAAATGTACACAAATGCCTTCGCAAAAGATGGGCACGTGGAGGGTCCTCTAACTTAACACTATTGGGTGCTCCTCCAAAGTGAATTGATAATTAAGTTGACTAGTAGGTGGAAAAATTACCCACAAAACAGTACCATGTGACTTTACAACTCAAGTGATTTTAGAAAAGTAGTCAGATAACATAGCTGATGTGACATATAGTTGTTGTTGAGCTAGAAGGAGCCCTAAGTCTAGCTTTACTACAAATTAGTACTGTGGATTAAATGTGTGTCAGTTTGTAAAAAGAGGCTTTTGTACATTAGACAACTCCTAAGGGCACTTAAAAGCTCCAAAATGTAATCCAGAGCCTGTTGTAGCAAAATTTCACTTTCATTTTGAAGCAATAATATTTTATGCTAAAATGAAGTAATTCTAAAAGTTGTCTCCTCCTACAGTTTATGAATAAGTTCTCAGTTCTCCTTGGTGGAAGAGGACAAACCATAGCAAGATACTGGTAGAAAGCCACAGCTCCTGGAAAGCCACACAAAAGGATTTGGGTTGTTTTCATTTCTCAATCCTCTGTATGTAGCACAGTTTACAATATCATAGTAGGTGCTCAGGAGAGATTTGTGGAACAGTTTTATTTTGAATCCTTGAATAGAAATTAGGAGTCCATTGTTGATTTCTGAGTATGCAACTGTTTGTATTATGAATTATGTATTATTGTGAATTATGTATTATTTCTGTGTTAGGAGACAAGAGCTGACATCACAGTTGCACCATCATGAAAAACAAATAGGAAAGAACTGCCTTAGACAATTTTGCAAAAGCATATTTTTCCACCTAAATGAAACAGCAGACGATTTGGGAGGGAAGATGCCCTCCTCTCCCCTGGGTGCTTTCACAACCACGGAAATGAGTGATGGTACCACTCTTTACACACAGGGAGCAGAACTCTGAGAGGCTGTCACTTGCTAAGAGTAGCCTAAGCAGAGAGGCTCAGGCTCAAAGTCCCAGTAAGGAGCCAGTGGACAAAGTATTTGGGGGTCTCCCTCAGCGACGAAATCCACTCTCGTGGGCCAACCGTTTGCAAAGAGCACCTGCTGCTGAGGCCAACCGGAGATGTGTTGGTAACCACACTGTAACCCGGTTTCCCTCTGGGTCTCTGCAGCCCAGCAAAGGTGGGCGATCCTCCCAGTGCCTCCGGAAAGGTACGGCGCCTGCGCACATCGTCTCCCTGACGTCACAGCCTCTGGGCCCGCAGGTGGCGACGGCGCTCGCGTACATCAGCAGCGTGAAGTCAAGGCCGCTCCGTCCGCAGGAAGCGATTGCGCCTGCGCAGGGAGCAGCTGGCGGAACCGGCCCTCCGTGCTCCCGCTTCCGGTTTGGCGGCGGCGGCGGCAGCGGCTTCAGGCCCGGTTGGCGGTTTGTGTGACGGCCCGGAAGGGGCCTCGGATTCCACGGAGGATCCAGAGGTGCAGTCTGGGCAGGCGGAGGCTGGGTAGGTGTGGCCGAACAGAGGGGGCCGTGTAGCGTCTTCTTAGTCCAGGAAATGCTACAGTCTTAAGAGTTCAGGTTTCTTCTTCGTCCTTCGGTTCATCCTCATCGGGTCCCCGGGTGAGGGGCACCGACACCCTGGCGACCCGCCGCGTTAGAAGCCCGGTCTCCGGTTCGGGCTGTTGCTCTGGACCCCCCCCCCCTCCTGGGACGTGGGGCGAGGGGACTGTAGTGTACCCCGCCTTTGACGCTCAGGAGCCGTGTTGGCTGCTTGAATGGCGTGATTCCGGCGCCCGCCCCGCCAGCTGGGGACCCCTGGACTCAGAGGTAACGGTTTGCCCAGGGCCAGGGCTCCCCCGGCATCCGCTGATGAGGATAGTGTGGACCGTCGAGTGATTTTGCGGAGAGGGAGTATGCTTGTTTCTCTTCTTACACCTTGTCTTTCACTAACTTCCTGCCTCCCACAGCTTTCTGGCTTTTTCTCACCACTAATTTCTTTCTCCTGAGGTTCTCCCACAATATCACAAAGTGCTGTGGAAGGTGGGCTCCTGTCAACCCTTCTGTCTTGTCGAGGGTTGCACGAAGGAAACTTCACCTGTGCCATCCCTTTCTCTCCAGTAGAAGAGCATTGAATCATCTCCCATATTCACCGAATGAAACCTTGCTAGTGTGTCTTGTTGTATCTAGGCAGCAGCTGAATAGATGATGAGTCATTATTGTACCAATTATTTGTATATATTCTCTTGAAAGCTTTGGTTATCCTTGTCCAAATGAATCGTCCCCCTCTCTTCTTACCGGCTTAGTATTTTGTAATATTCATGTGTTCAGTGTCTTTTGGGTCAACAGCATTATAGTACTAAAATCGATCAGGGGCTTATTAAATGCCAGGTACTGTGTTAAGCATCTTATGTGAGTTGTCAGGCATCATCCTAATTTCTACATAGTTATCAACCCCACTTAACACTTAAGGAAACTGAAACTTAGAGAAATTAAATAGCTGCCCCATATCACACAGCTATGAAGTGTTAGACTCCACATTTAAACTCAGATTTATTGGACTCCAGAGCCTGAACCCTAACCACAAACATCTTTGTATTGCTTTTTCACAAATCAAAAGCATCAGCTAAAATCCTCAGAATCCAGAAAATAAAATTAAAAGAGTATGTAAAAAGCAGTGGAAATGGTAATATTCGACTTTTTTGTACTATTTTAATAAGTAAAAATATTTGAAGTCTATTCATTTTATACTAATTTTGGAATCCTTGTTATCTATGTAGCAGTTTTACGATGCATATATATTTACATCATTACGTGGATTTCAACATTAGTATAAAGTAATTTGAGTCTTTGCCTGAGACTTGTTCAGGGAAACTTGGACTTGGAGACTGTAATAGAATCTACAGATAAATCAGAAACCCTATACCAATCTTGAACATTCGAAGAAGTATTCTTAACATACTTTGTTTAGTATATATTATATATGAATTGTAAAGAGGGCATTATATACTGTAATGCACTGGGTTGAGGGAGCATGTTTTGAGAGATGAGAGAGTGAACAGACCTAACCAGGTGGTGCAGTCAGTTATTCAAATGAGACACAGCAAGGGGAGGCAGTTCCTGTATTCAGAGATAAAAGACTCAGGATTGTGGTCTCTCCTGGGTTTATCTAGGCCTAATGGACTCTGTAGAAATTGGGTTTCCTCTGTCAGTATTTAGACTGAGAGGTGAGGTTTTTTGCGCCATAGGCCCCCAAATGGATTTTGTTAACCTTCCCCAGAGTAGTCATAGCTGCTGGGTGTTTTTAACCAAACTACCCCATCACTCGTGTGTGTGTGTATGTGTGTGTGTGGGGTGTGTGTGTGTGTGTGTGTGAGATCAGCTCCTGGCCTTCCCTAGTGTGCTTTTCCAGGAACTCAACTGTAGGTTTCAGTAATTCATTCAACAAACCAACCTACTATGCGCCAGGAGCTAGTGGCACAGATTACAACATGATTTCTAACCTCCAGAGACTGACAGTTTAGTTAACGTGGTGTTGTAGTTAACCATGTGATTTCTCCTGCTAGATAGCGTAGCCTCGTGTTGATAATACCATGTGATTCTCTTTTGTTTGCTGGGGCCGGGAATTTCATGGACTCCACACCACAAGAGACCTCCCCACTCCCCAGAAGCTGCTCTGACTCCCTGCCCTCTGGGCTACATGGGGATATGCCAGGAGGTATCTGAAACCACAAGATAAAACATGGCTTAAATTCCTAGAGTACACATTTTACTTGAATCTTTTTTTGGAAAACTTAGTATATTTTAGTGTTCCATAGTTTAAACCATATTAGTTCTGATATCTTATAGATTCTAATAGAACTTGCATGATTATTTAAAACTTCAAAGAAATTTTGTGCTTGTGGTGACCACTCTAGCAAATATTCTAGACCCTAGTCCAGGGTCTAGGGTCTAGAATAAGGCCCCCATTATTTCCCCTCTGACTTTTAGGAGATATTTCAGTGAAAAGCTCTGTCTCATGACATTTTACTTTTGCTGTATTTTTGTTAAAGCACTTATCATTTTACAGTTGTTCCCATTACATCTCTTTTTCATTGCAAAATGTACTCCTGAGGCAGAAACATACTGTATTTGCCCGTAGCACAATGCATGTCCCATATGTAGTCAGCAAGTGGTTTGGGGATTACTGGCATGGGATTATCAGCCAAAAAAAGTACACTAATGAATTTAAATTTATAAAACTGTAAGTAACTCTGATAATAGAGTTAAGAGATAGGTAAAGTGGGTGCTTCCCTGGTGGCACAGTGGTTGAGAGTCCGCCTGCTGATGCAGGGGACACGGGTTCGTGCCCTGGTCCTGGAAGGTCCCACATGCCGCGGAGTGGCTGGGCCCGTGAGCCATGGCCGCTGAGCCTGCGCGTCCGGAGCCTGTGCTCCGCAATGGAGAGGCCACAACAGTGAGGCCCACGTACCGCAAGAGAGCACCGTACCCAAAAAAAAAAAAAAAAAAAAAAAAGAGGTAGGTAAAGTGAGAATTTCATGGGTAGGATATTTTGATTTGGGTTTTGAATGCTAGAGTGGTTTGTCATAGCAGTGAAGAAGTGACAGTAAACATAGTCATAGGCTTTGTCTGGAAGAAGAGGGTACTTTTTTGGGGGAAAGGACCCTATCTATTTAGAAGTTCAGTTCAGCCAAATTTCAATTCAGTGAGCTAGCGATTTGTTAAAAGCATGATTTTAGGAAGTTTTTTTTTTTCATATAATGGGTAAACAACAAGGTCCTACTGTATAGCACAGAGAACTATCTTCTCTATCCTGTGATAACCCATAATGGAAAAGAATATAAAAAAGGATGTGTACATATGTATAATTGAGTCACTTTGCAGTAGAAATTAACACAATATTGTAAATCAACTATACTTCGATAGAAAATAAAACAATAAAATGGGGGAAATTGTTTGTAAATTGAAAAAAAAAAAAAGTTTGTTTCTGGTGCTGTGTGGTTGTGGTCTGAAAGGAAAAGAGGAGAAATATAAGAAAAGACCTCAGGAGCCCAGAAGTGAAATGGGTTTGAAACAAAATAGTTGATTATCATTCAATGTAGAGGTTGAAAATAGACATCGTTTGTAACATTGGTCTGTTTTCATTTAACAAACATTATTAAACATTTGTTATGAACCAGGCACTTTCTGTGAGGTCTTTACATTAAAATTTAGTTGAATTTTATCCTTTACAGTTATTCTCTTTTTGCTTTATCAGATAAACCAGAAGATTCACCGTCGCTTCCATGGCTGCCTCACAAACTTCACAGACTGTTGCATCTCACGTTCCTTTTGCAGATTTATGTTCAACTTTAGAACGAATACAGAAAAGTAAAGCACGTGCAGAAAAAATCAGACACTTCAAAGAATTTTTAGATTCTTGGAGAAAGTTTCATGATGCCCTTCATAAGAACCAAAAAGCTGTCACAGATTCTTTTTATCCAGCCATGAGACTTATTCTTCCTCAGCTGGAAAGAGAGAGAATGGCCTATGGCATCAAAGAAACTATGCTTGCTAAGCTTTATATTGAATTGCTTAACTTACCTCGAGAAGGAAAAGATGCCCTCAAACTTCTAAACTACAGAACACCTACCGGAACTCGTGGAGATGCTGGAGACTTTGCGATAATCGCATACTTTGTGTTGAAACCCAGATGCTTACAGAAGGGAAGTTTAACCATACAGCAAGTAAATGACCTTTTAGACTCCATTGCCAACAATAATTCTGCCCAAAGGAAGGACCTAGTAAAGAAGAGTCTTCTTCAGCTTATAACTCAGAGTTCAGCACTTGAACAAAAGTGGCTGATACGGATGATTGTAAAGGACTTGAAGCTTGGTTTTACTCAGCAAACTGTATTTTCTGTTTTTCATAATGATGCTGCTGAGTTGCATAATGTCACCACAGATCTGGAAAAGGTCTGTAGGCAACTGCATGATCCTTCAGTTGGACTCAGTGACATTTCTATCACTTTATTCTCTGCATTTAAACCCATGCTGGCCTCTATAGCAGATATCGAGCGAATTGAGAAGGACATGAAACACCAGAGTTTCTACATCGAAACCAAGCTAGACGGTGAGCGTATGCAGATGCACAAGGATGGGGACGTGTATCGGTACTTCTCCCGCAATGGATATAACTATGAGGATCAGTTTGGCTCTTCCCCACAGGAAGGTTCCCTTACACCGTTCATCCATAATGCATTCAAATCAGATGTTCAAAACTGCATCCTCGATGGTGAGATGATGGCCTACAACCCTAATACACAAACTTTTATGCAAAAGGGGAGTAAGTTTGATATTAAAAGAATGGTAGAAGATTCTGATCTGCACACTTGTTACTGTGTTTTTGATGTGTTGATGGTTAATGATAAAAAGCTAGGACAGGAGACACTGAGAAAGAGGTATGAAATTCTTAATAGTGTTTTTACACCAATACCAGGTAGAATAGAAATAGTGCAAAAAACACAAGCTCATACTAAGAAAGAAGTAATTGATGCTTTGAATGAAGCAATAGATAAAAGAGAAGAAGGGATCATGATAAAACATCCTCTGTCCATTTACAAGCCAGATAAAAGAGGTGAAGGATGGTTAAAAATTAAACCAGAGTATGTAAATGGGCTGATGGATGAACTGGACATCTTAATCGTGGGGGGCTACTGGGGGAAAGGTTCCCGGGGTGGAATGATGTCTCATTTTTTGTGTGCGGTGTCAGAGAAACCCCCTTCTGGTGAAAAACCGTCAGTGTTTCATACTCTCTGTCGCGTTGGCTCAGGTTACACCATGAAAGAACTGTATGACCTGGGTTTGAAGTTGGCCCAACACTGGAAGCCTTTTCATAAGAAAGCTCCACCAAGTTGCATTTTATGTGGAACAGAGAAGCCAGAGGTCTACATCGAACCTTGGAATTCGGTCATTGTTCAGGTTAAGGCCACAGAGATTGTCCCCAGTGGTATGTATAAAACTGGCTGCACGTTGCGTTTTCCACGAATTGAGAATATAAGAGAAAACAAAGAATGGCATGAATGTACATCTCTGGAGGACTTAGAACAACTTCGAGGGAAAGCCTCCGGAAAGCTGGCGTCTAAACACCTTTATGTGGGTGATGATGATGAACCACAAGAAAAAAAGCGGAAAGCTGCCCCAAAGATGAAGAAAGTTATTGGAATTATTGAGCACCTAAAAGCACCCAACCTTTCTAACATAAACAAGGTTTCTAATATATTTGAAGATGTGGAGTTTTGTGTCATGAGTGGAACAAACAGCCATCCAAAGCCTGATCTGGAGAACAGAATCGCAGAATTTGGTGGTTACATAGTCCAAAATCCAGGCCCAGACACATACTGTGTGATTGCAGGGTCTGAGAACATTCGAGTGAAAAACATCATCTCTTCTGATAAACACGATGTTGTCAAGCCGGAGTGGCTGTTAGAGTGTTTAGAGACCAAAAGCTGTGTGCCGTGGCAGCCTCGCTTCATGATTCACATGTGCCCGTCGACAAAACAGCACTTTGCTCGGGAATACGACTGCTACGGGGATAGTTACTTTGTCGATACAGATTTGAACCAACTGAAGGAAATGTTCTCGGGAATTAAAAACGCTGGTGAACAGACTTCTAGGGAAATGGGTCCTGTGATTGCCGATTTGGAACACCGGTATTCCTGGGACAACACTCCTCTTAGCATGTTTCGACACCACACCGTTTTTTTGGACTTGTATACTGTTATTAATGACTTAAGTACTAAAATCGAGGGGGCAAGATTAGCTATCACAGCCCTGGAGCTTCAATTTCATGGAGCAAAAGTAGTTTCATGCTTAGCTGAGGGAGTGTCTCATGTCATCATTGGGGAGGATCAGAGTCGGGTTGCAGACTTTAAAGCTTTTCGAAGAACTCTTAAGAGAAAGTTTAAAATCCTACAAGAACGTTGGGTAACTGAATCAATAGACAAGAGGGAATTACAGGAGGAAAATCAATATTTGCTTTGAAGCTAGCTTTCCTAGTGAGGGAAGGCCTCTGATCTGGCTGACTCATTAAACTACATTTTATTTTAATCTCTTAAAATCTATGCTTGAACAGTATTATTAGATATAGAAACACAGTAATCGTAACTTTTGATATAGAAGAGACACCCAGTGGCCCAAAGTCAAGAAAGAAAATTTTTTAACAGTGTAGTATTTGATTATTTTTATAACCAAGATGAAATGAAATGTTTAATGTTAACAGTCTCCTTATAGAAATCTAGAATTTTGACTCAGATATTAATAAAATAGATTTAGAAGCTTTTAGAGTCATTAAAAACAGTGACCTAACAGGATTTGCTGAAGTCAAATAAAAATTTTAATAATAGTTTTTGTCTAATAAAAGCATTGCAAGAAAAAAATCAGAATTGTTACAATTGGACTTGTAAATATATGTCTTTTTAAGTTGAAGGCTAAAATTCCTCTTTTAAATGTGAAATGTGAACAAATTTATTTTTTAAGGTTCAGTCAAGCTCATGAATACATACCTTGTTAATGATGTCATTAGCTAAATCAGGGGAAGTTGAATGAGATTTAATGCTCTAAAAACTTAAAGTTGGATCAGTTTGATTTTTAAAATCTCTTGCAATTTTAAAAGTACTTGGCCCACACTTAATGTTTTTTCTAAAATAGAGCATGTTTTAAAGAAAATACTTTTATGTGAATTCGTACTTCAGTATAAATAGTATCCACAAAGAGTGATTTTCTTAAGTATAACCCATTGAATGTCTCAGAATGGCATGTGTGTTATAACTTTCTTTACAGAGAAGTACATTGCTTTGACTTTTTAAAGTGACTTTTATTTACCCTTAGGTTATGTAAAGTTTGTATAGTATGTGTATGTATTTATATATATATTATGTCTGGGTTTATATACCAAATATATAAATACCAAAATATACCAAATTTTGGAATGCAGCCTGTTTTTATGTTTTATGTATTGATGTCATAAAAATATGTTTTTATGACATCAGTTAAATACTTGGAATTTGGTACCTGAGAAACTGTGTGTAGATTATTTGTAAGTAGTTAAAAATTTTATCGAACCCATAGAACAAATGTATGTTATTTTGTTGTATTTCTTAATTTAAATAAAATATTTAATGTACTATTAAAATAATTTCTTATCTTTATTTTCAAATAATTCATAATAGTTATTTCAGTCAAAGAGACATTACAGTATTAATATAATTTTTGACTGATTCAAGTCAGTTCCTATTTCAGGTCCTTTGAATTTCATATTAATGAGCTTCATTAAAATTTTTAAACTTGTATATTTTTATATAATGTCTGTTGAGAAAAATTACAAAATACAGGTATGTGTAGTGAGAAGAAAAGTACATAGTTTTACCACCAAAGATAATAACATCTATTTTAGGTTACCGATGGTAAGGAAAGCACAAAATGCATATTTACAGTGTAACAAATAAATATAAAATAAGTTATAATGCTTTCTATGACTAGCTTTTCTCACCTAATAAATTGTGAGAATATTTACAGGTCACTAAACTATATCTACATCATTTTTAATTGCTGCACAGTATTCCATTGACTGGTTTGTAATGTATCCAGCTGGCCCTGATTGTCTGCCTTTTAGGTTGTCACTAAGTTACCCTCACTTCCTTACTGAGCTTTGTAATCAATTGTTTACATTTGTAGAAATGGAATTACTGATTCATAGTTAACGTATTTTCCAGTGACCTGAGACACATTGTAAAATTCTGGCAAGAATGCCTTTCTGGATTTTCTTGGAGAGTTCAGTTTATTAGTACTAGACCTGTTCTCTCTCCTTTCAATTCATAGGCGTTCTCATCCTGCCCAGTGGCTTTAAATATGCTAAGAACACCCACTTTTTTTAGCCCCGATTTCTTTGCTTAACTCTAGTTCACATATCTAACCATTTACATAACATCTCCACATGAAGTCGCATGGGCCTCTCAAACATAATGTGTCCAACAATAACTTATTTTTTTAATCATAGAAAAAATTTTAAATGCAACCAGGAGGATAGCATAATGAATGTGCATGCACATCACCCATTCTCAACAATTATCAATGATTAATCTTTTTTTCATATTTATAGACCTCTGAATTATTTTGAAGTCATCTTAGATCACAGATTTCATCTAAAGATATTTTATAGTAGAATTCCTGACTTCTCAAACAAGCATGATCTTTTTTTTTTTAATTTTTATTTTCTGTTGGAGTACTGTGGGTTAACAATGTTGTGTTAGTTTCAGGTGTACAGCAAAGTGATTCAGTTAAATACATGCATGTATCTATTTTTCAAATTCTTTTCCCATTTAGGAAAATGTGTCTGAGTTTCCTCTTACGTAAAATAGGGTAATAGTGGTAACTGGTTTATCCAGTGGTTGTAAGGACCCTGTGTGTGTGTGTGCACACACACACGTGTGCATACGTATTATGACTATGCGTAGAACACTATCTTATCAGTTATTATTTTTGTACGTAATGTGAGAAGGAAAAATAATACGTGCAGAGGTTCTGTGATACATGGTAATAATAGAATGTGAATTGGAGAAAAGAACTGTGTTTGTAAGGGAAAACCCTGTAATGGGCATTACCAAACTTCTGGCCCTTTCTCCTACGAAGTGGTTCACAGCTGGGGAAGATTTTTGCCCTTCTGGGGTTTGGCAACATCTGGAGACTTTTTGATTGTCAAGGGTGGGGGGTGAGGTGTGACTGGCATCTAGTGGGCAGAGGCCAAGTACGCCGTTAAATATCCTACTGCGAACAGAAAAGCTCCCCACAAGTAACAATCCAGACCACAATGTCAATAATGGTGAGGTTGACAAAGATTCACCTGAAATGTAACAAAAGAAGACCTTATACTACTTATGAGTAACTCCAAAAGACCGTGCATAATCACAGCTTTATTGCGAGCCAGTTTTTCATTCATAAAATGAAAGCTGATTCCAGCTGCTTCCTTTAAAAGGGTTAGTAAGTGGGTTAATTAGTGTTTGCAAAGTCCTTTGAAGATGTAAAATCGTATGTAAATGCTATGTGTTATTAACTACCATTCTGGAAGACCGTGCTGTGATCCTTGTTCATGACCACAGCCAAGCCTCAAAGGCCTAAGAGGCACTGCGTGATTTTTTAAGCTGGAACATTTATAATGAGACAGATGGGCATCAGGACCTAAGCCAGTTTTCAATGGCTGGGATGTGACCGTATATAACTTGGCTCATTAAGACTAAGAAAACTATAGGTTTTGCTTTGGGATATGTCTGCTAAACAGGAGTAAGTTTCTTCCAATTTCACAGCACTGTATGCGGGGTGAGGGAGGGGAGTAGCAAGAATCCATAATACAATTTTAATTATTATAAAGAAACAATTAACTTATAGAAAAATTCTACTATTTATATTTATAAACTGGTCTTCTCTGGCCTGGGAGTCACTGTGTAACTCGGACTGGGTCTGATGAAATGAAGACAATAAAATGAACTGCAAAAATCTGAAGAAACCAAGGAACTGAGTATAATACAGTATGCTTTTTTCTCTAGGTATGAAGTGTACATCATGTCCCATAAATATAATTTTATCCTTTGACAGTATAAATGTCTTTAAATTTCAGTACGGCTCTTGATTTTACCTAATGTGACCATTTTCCTGTCAGGAGGTAGAATCTAACCTCTAGATTTAAATAACAATGTTATCTTTAACTCAGCTTCAATCTGGATGAAGTGTCTCTAGTGACATACTGGGGTAAATAATTCTGAGCTGTGAGATTTGGCTTTGCCAAACTCTGATGGACGCATATGTGAACCTCAGTGTTTAATAAAGGTGACGTTTCATGTCAATGAAGGAGAACATGGATTATTTAATAAGTAGTTTGGAGACAGCTGTGTAATCATCTAGAAAACAAACCCTCTCTTATTGCTTAAATACATCTCAGATAAAGCAGATATTTAAAAGTAAGAAAACAAAACCACACCAATAATACAAATTTAGGAGAAGGATATTTTAAGTATTGAAAACAAAAGTGAAAATAGAAGCCAGAGAAGAAAAGATTTGCTAAATTTAATTTATATGATTGATAAAAATATTCTACAGTGATTTGCCATAAGTCAAAGGTGGTGACACAGGAAAAATATTTGTACCAAAGTAGCAGGAAAATGACTGTTTTCCTTATTATTTGAAGAGCTCCCATAAGAAAGGCTATCAACTAGATAATAGAGAAAAAAAATACAACTACATGTAAAACTGTTCAAAAATATAAAAAGATACAAAGATACGTCAAAGAAAACACACGGCTTTTGAACTCATAAAGATATCCTCCCCATCCATTACAAAGACAATCTAAAGTTGTATTTTTTTTGGCTATCAAATTTGCAAACCAAAACTTTGATAGTAAGTTGTGCTCATAAGAATGTGAGGAAAAAAAAGATATCCTCATGCTTTTTTTTTTATTTTTGGCGGTACGCGTGCCTCCGTTGCGGAGCACAGGCTCCGGACGCGCAGGCTCAGCAGCCATGGCTCACGGGCCCAGCCGCTCCGCGGCACGTGGGATCCTCCCGGACCGGGGCACGAACCCATGTCCTCTGCATCGACAGGTGGACTCTCAACCACTGCGCCACCAGGGAAGCCCCCTCATGCTTTTTTGATGCAAATATTTATATCGTGTATATACTGATTTTCTGTAGGGGGAAATGGCAACATCTATCAAAATTTTAAATGTATTTATACTCTAGCCAACTTAATGGATTTTCAGGGATTTATCTTTCAGAAGTTGTTACACACATACAAAACCACACATTTACGAGCATAGCATAGTTACTGCAAAATTACACTATAATGAAGGAGAGGGATTAAATTAAATGTAACAGACGTTTGGTTAAATAAATGATGGTATATCAGCCCATGATAACATAAAACTGTTTTTAAGAAAACAAAGATACTTTCCTACTGCATTTACCAGTAGGGAAGTATCTTTCAGATACATTAAGCAGAATTAAAAAAGAAATCTGCAGGACATGGTGGAGATTCT